CTCGCCTGTTACGCGTTAATTATATTAGATAACCTTGATCCGGCTACTTTCTCAGGACAGTAGAATAAACACTAGTATTAATAAAAATCTTTATACGCCACCTCAAACTTGGGCAATTAAACCAATTAATAAATAGACAGAAAAAATAACATTCAATATGAATCCAGAGATAACTATTTCAAAATAAATAAAAAATGCTTAAACAATTTAAGTGATTTAAGGGATGTTAAATAACAAAATGCATAATATTGAATGTTGGGACCCAACCGTTCAGCCCCAAAATGAGGTAAAAATTTTCTTGAGAACGGCATGCAATATATACTATAAATTGGCTTTTATCTTTTCTTGACATATTTGAAAGTAAAGAATTAATGAGTTAATTAATGAGAATTAATGAAGGGTGCTTTATTTAGCAGGTCGGGGTCACCATTTTGAAATAACAATTATGAATTAATAGATAACATCGCATTTCGCGACAGTTATAATAGATTCTTGCGAACTTATTAAAAGGTTACAATGGTGTTAAAAAGAATTTTTTTCCAATAGCGCTCACCATTTCTGGTTAGTCTTGCTCCGTTAGCTAAAGAAATGTTACTAGGAAGTCATCTGGTGATAAAAATACAGGTGAATTTTTACTCGAATTTTTATATATAGGTTTATCTTATTAGCTTTATAAAATAAAAAATGCTAATTTAGGTGGTGCGGTATGTTCTGGAGTTTTGCGAAGTCGTGGATCTATGATTCTGTTCATTCATGCACATGCTATTCGAATTTGAGTTGTTAGAAGAGCTTCTGCGAGTTATGACTTTCGAAAATCATTTGGTCGAAGACAGAACGAAATTTAATTAGTCGTTTCCTGCAGTTGTCATTGGATCTCGGTATTTCCTCCGTATTTCCAGATCTTTTTAAAATAAAAAAATCTAGTCTAAGTGGTGCGGTCCGTTCTCGGACCAGCGCTTTATATTCAAGTTTATGTTTATTAATGACATATCACCAAATGAAAATGACTTCTTCGATCTATAGCTTACATGTAACACGATATTCTAAAAGTTAAACCTAATCTCGGTGCTTCTGCAGACCAAAGAATTAAGAAGCCTTTATATTTCTGATACCGTTTGCCACATTCTCGACGCAAATCGTATTTAATGCTTCAATTTCACTCGACATGTTCCATTTTCGTGATGCAAAAAGAGCATTAATGTATCTATCCTTGGCTTCGAAAAAAAAACTTATTTTTAAGTTTAATATAATTCTTTTTTTGTAGATAATTTCTAATCGTACTCCAATTTTGTCTGAAATTTATCCTGAATTTCACATTTCTATATATTTTTTCGTCCAACGTTTCAAAATTTCATTCGCTATTCAGCATCATGAACATCATGAATTTCTGTGATTGTGTAAACAAACACGAAAATAAAGATTTAATAGTTTCAAAATCACAAGTTTTGGAATATATCACAGTAACGTAAAAGAGCAAACACAAAAAACATATAGAAATTTTAAAAAATGGTCATCAAATTTGCAGACTTTAAAAAGCAACCCGAATATATCCCAGCTGAAATTCAACTGCAATCACTAAAAAGAACTTTTTATCGCCGCTTTTTCAAAAGATTGAAAAAATGAAAGCTCAATGGAACATTTTCCACTCCAGTTTTTTTCTTCGTTCCTTTTTAATGATTTCATAATTTTTTTCTATTATCTATTATTTTCTATCCCATTAAAACAACTTTACCACAAATTTTGAAGTAGTTCTTTTCATTTTCTTGTAACTTCCATAACTTTCCCCTTTTTCCCAGCTATTTTTCATAGAATTTCTCTAGATTTCTAATATCAAGCTAGAATTAAACGATCAAACAATTTCAGATGAGAAACCAAAATTATTTACAAATACAAACTTAAACTGCGATTGAGTAGTAGTTCATTAGAAGCTTCAATAACAAAATTTAAAGCGGTAAACTGAAGCGTGAACTGTCCGCATTTACTGAGTCAAAATGGTGCAAAACTGGCTAAAATTAAATTATATAAGTTTTAACATGACATTTTCAATATTAAAAAGCAAAGGAATTTGAAAATATCTTAAAATTAAGAATCTGCTTAAGTGACGAAAAACAATATAAGTGACGAAAATTGGATCACTGTTTCTCATTCGTTAAAAAAATCACCTTCTGAAATTTTTTTGTCTTCGACACAGAAACAATTATATAAATAATTCATAATAATTACAATAAATATAAACAATCCACAGATAAAAATATAGATGGCTTATTCCCTCACAGAAAAAATAAATGGAAGCTTACAGCCGCTAACCCTTCGTAATAACGACTTTGTGTTAAACCATTAAAACGTCTATAAGTGTAATTGGAGAATTCTCCTCTATCACTGACACGCTGTGCGCCAACAACATCGAGTTCATATTCAGCTAAAACCAAAATGGGTTCAGATAACAAAGTCCTCTCTAATTTTCAAAGCATAATCAAATGCACGGCCATAAATTTCAGAAATTACTTTCATACAATTCGAAAAATTCGGTAATTCCATAAAAACCAGAGAGGAGCATTAAAATTCCTTCAACATTATTCCTTCAAGCTATTTTGTATATTAAATAAAGATTTGATTTGACTTCTATTCCTAATCTTAGACTTGAATCAATCCACAAAGATCTTCGAAATTTTCAGTGCTATCAAATGTACAATAGGCAACTTGAGAGCAGAACAGCCGAATGGATAATGATCCAGAGAGGAAAGGGTCTAACAAGAGTAAAATTATAAAAAATCACTGAGTGGTGCTGATTTATATCACTCCCTGGCGAAAATTTCTGATATACGATAAATTTCTGGCGATTTATATATTAATAACCAATCAGAAATGGTGAGCGCTAACCACATGCTTTTAGGCAACTTCCATATGAAAATATGAGTTGAAAAATGATCATATAGTTAAAAATTTCTCATCTCATCTGCCAATAATTTTTTTGATCTGTTGTCAACATTAAATACAATGACCTAAGGAAATAATATGTTGAGGATTTATATGGAAACAAATCGGCGATATTACCTGGTGAACTAAAAGCTAAAAATTGCTATGCAAAATAAAATTTTGATTGAATGAATGAATTCAAATTTTTTCTGCATTTCAAATTTATCAAGGACCAATTTTAAAATGAAAAAGTAGAAAAGTTCGTTTCGGACTATTTATGATTAAAAATTCAATCGTTTATCAGCAATTATTTGAATAACTCACCTGTTTTTCTATCGCAACGACGTCAAAAAATAATTTATAGCAACAGCTGCAGAAATATGTCGCATTATATATTATTCAAGCGACGTAAGCATTAATTTATCCTCTTAATTGCTCTCCTATAACTTGAGAAATCTCAAGACAAAATGGGAGATCCCCTCAAAAATCGAGGAGAATAAGGCTAAGATCCTGTGGGACTCTCTCACACAGCTAGACAAACAAACGAATACTCCCACTGAATTAAATGCCGTGCTAATATACAAGAACTAAAAATTGGCACTGGTGATAGATATGGCAATATTATAAGGCTATTGAAAAAAAAATTATGGCAAGCTAGAAAAATATCGGGAACTGAAAGATGAATTGATGGAGGTGGTGTGGAAAGTGAACGCCAAAGTAATTCTAGCGGCAGTGTTTGTTTGCAACGGTAATAGCAGCACTAGGGGTTTGACCCTTGAACTATAAAGTGGTTTCAACGGATTCTAGCATTCACATCAGAGATCTCTAAACAAAAGAGCATACTTCAGAAAATCGTAGAGAATAATAAGGCGAGGATCCTGTGGAACTTCCCATCTGAACAAATAAGTACTGATCAATCAACCAGATAAGAATCAGAAATCAGCACTGGTGATAGATATAGCAATATCAAGTAAAGGGAACGTCAGGAAGAAAAAATATAAGAAGTTAGAGAAATAAGGGCTGAAATAAAAACTAAAGAGGATGTGGGAAGTAAAAGCCAAACTAATTCCAGTGATAATTGGAGCACTTGGAAGTGTGAGCCCTAAACTAGAAAGGTGGCTTCAGCAGATTCCAGGAGCAACATCAGAGATTGTCTTTATCCAGAAGATCGCTATATTAGGAACAGCTAAGAGCACCATGCAGCACCCTCAATCTCCCAGGCCTCTCGTAGAGAACATGAGGTTAAGGATCGTGACCACTCACAGGGGGTGAGAAAAAAGTTTTTTTTACGTATATCTTCGAAACGCTGCTTGATCTCTGCAAGTTATCTAAATCTTTGCCTCTTTATTATCAATTTTTTTGAAGTTGAACGCATATTTTTTGAGTTCAAAATAAATGCATATGAAAAACAAAATAAAACTGATTTAGCAATATTTTATGAATTGACAATAGCTATTTCATAAAGCACGTTCATAAAATATAACCAATTATTTGCTCCAATCGAAATTTTCGTTTTCCAGTTTGCACGGATGTATGTGTAAGCCCAACATAATGTTTTTTTCCTATTTTTATACTTCCGTAATAATTTAAGTTATTAAAGGTGGTTGATAATTATGTTGACAAATATATTGAATATATTTAATTCAGTTAATTAATGTCTATTGCTTTTCTTCCGCATATATAAATCATTTGTTCATAAACCCTTTTAATTCATTTCTCCCTAGATTAGGATTTTGGAAATAAAATTTTAGTTTTTTTAAACCTAACTCATTTTCTGAAAATTTGCGTAATATGGAATTCACATGAATTTTGAATCAATATGAAGCAAGCCTCAATCGAATATCATAAATTCGATGCCTTCTTCTGACAGGAGTGAACCTTTCATTCAAAATTTGATATGCTGGAACCAACTGCAGTTATATGGACAAATGACTCCTTTGCAAAAATTTTTAGCCTTATTAACAGCCAGCGAAAAGCCCGATTAGAAACAGTGAACGATGACCACATGTTTTTTTTTAGACGCATACTATGTAAATAAAAACTAATCATTTATTAAATCATTTTACAACAAATTAATTACTAAATTACAAGAAAAATAAAAAAGCGAGCAGTAATGGTAAAAAAGCCATGATAAATGAATCATTACAGTCCTTTGCCAAAGCAAATTGGATGGAAATAAGCTGCCTATCACAAAAGAGTAATCATTGGCAACTTCAGTAATGACTGAGGAATAGAAACAATTCGAATTATTATCAAGAATAATGCACTTGGAATTAAGCGAAGAAAAATCGATAAAGCAGGACAAAAATGGGAAAAATAAAGAAGAAAAAGTGAACTCATCATGATCGGCTTAAATAGCAAAGGGACTATGCTAAAATGAAAAAGTAAATGGGATACATCATAACTATGTAAAATAAAATGTTAAAAGGAAATTGTTACTTTTACAAAACAATAAATATTGGGAATATTGTTTCGATCAAAACCAAGCCACCGAATGATTCCAACGTAAATAAACCTACTGTTAAAACAAAATCCACTTGGGGATAAAGACTTATGGAACTAAATCACAAAGCGCAATTAGAGAAAAAAAGGATTATCAAAAATCAAATTGATAAAAGACATAAAAGCTACTACTAAAAAATTTTACTTAATTTGAATCGCTTTTTCCACATTGCATAACTTTTCTTCTTCTTCTTCTAACAGCTCTCACCATTACTATTTAGGCTGGCTCCAACGGCTACAAGGGTAAGACGAAACTTCTGAAAGTTTTTCACATTGCATAACTCCTTTCTGAACATTAAATGATTCAACACAAGGGCGCAAATCCAGTAAATGATTTGACCAAAAATCTGCCCAAGAAAGATAGAATCTGCTCCGTATGTTCTAAATTTTGTATGCAAAAAATTAAGCTGAAATACTGTTTTATCTAAAATGCTGAACAGAATGAACCAAAAATAATTAATAAATGAAAATGAATTTCAATCAAATAATTAAATAAGATAGATATTCTACTAAAAAATACTGATTCTCACTGAAATCCTGAGAATCGGCTTTTAAAATTTAAAACACAAATTTTTCGAAACTGGCTTAGGTAAATCCAGTTTATTCAAAGCTAAAACTAAGTTAAAATCCAATTAATTTCATTTCATATAAAGAATTTCATATAAATATTTAACCGATTGGCTGTTTCACAGAACATCGTCTCGACCGCCAGATTTTGGATGTTGCCTCTGACAAATCTGAGTAAGCTTGTCATTAAAAAATCCAAGTGATACTGATGTATTTTCACCAAAGTGACTTTTTGACAGAAACTGTCAGCTAATAGCTAGTAGAACAAATCTAACCAGAAATGTTGCGTTCTAACCACTTAATTTTCTGCATAGAAATCATATCTTACCAATTCAAGAAGATCGTCTAACGATTTCTGAAATGTTGGTTGGCATTTCAAAGAATTATTATTTTTATTATAGCCATTTAAAATGCGATCAACTGGACTTTCATGTTGCAATATGCCTGGCACTACAAGCAAAATTTTTGTAAATTCATGGCAAAATATATGCCTTAAGAATAGTCCATACTTGTTTTCTCGTGTTGCAAAAGAATTATATAGTTATATTTATAGAAAAAAGTGAAATTTAATATAGTGAAAGAGATAGCAAAATAAATGAACCTATTTTAGGTGACAACATTGGTTCAATCACTTTTTTCATCAAGCTGTGGAAGAACTCTTCGACATGCATGTAACTGATATCTGATTGATGCTAGGTCGAAATTTTGTAGCCTTTGGGAATTCTTTTTTCACTATTACCAGCATGATATTCCTGAATGTCAGGACCAAAGTATATTGCGTTATTCCATATATCATTAAAAGATAACAAAATGGAATAAACAGAATTAATCTTAGAGAATGATATAAATCTGTATGAATGGCTGTGAGGTTAAAATTAAATTTGCAAAATATTAATTGGAAGAAATTAATTTTAAATATTAAAACAACATTTAACCTCGATAATTTCACCACAATACTGGTGCAATAAATTCAATACCCAGTAATAATACCCAGGAATTTACCAGCCACAAAGCTAAGAGATCCATATGGACTATTTTCTAGCAATTTTTAAAAAAAATTTTCGAAAAATATTAATGATCGAAACAGTGCATATACACATATATCTCTTACTGATATCTGATCTAGTATCTGATTTAGATTTTCAATTTTTTTAGACAGCAAAGGACTTGTTAATGGCTAGGAAAAATACTCCAAAACTATCAGATGAACATCAGTACAATCTGTTTTCAGTTTCCATTATTTATTCAATTCATTTCAATTTATTCAAAACAAACCGATGCAGTATCTTTAAAAACAATATGGACTGAAGTAAAGAGTGCGACCAGTTTTATCTTTTGCATGATTTGTTTCATCATAATATCGAAAAACGCCAGTAAAAGATAAGCTGGAAGATAAGGCGTCAAAAGCCGTGTCAATCGTGGTTTAAAATCAGCAAAAATCTGCTAAAAAATTATTTTATGCTGGTAAAAACGAAACAAAAAAGTTGAAATAAATATTTTAGAAAATTCAGGAACATTAAAAACTTCGAGAAATGCCGAATGCTGGATAAGTTGCTTTTGAAACGATTCTAAGCGAAATATTTCCGAATGGCAACTTATATCTTAAATAGAGCAATAATCAGTCATCAGTGAAAAAATCAAATTTTCCCATTAAATAAAGATAACATAGGTTCCATTCCTTTTCCTTGGCGACTTCCTAAATCTGTTATTAAAAATGGAATTTGGATGACATTTCTATGCCCAACTTATTCCACTGTAACGTCAAATATATATGACAAAAAGATAAATATTTTCTTTGACAGAAAATTGCTGAAAATTATTGTTAAAAAAATCTCTTCCTCATCTCCTGTAGGTCCAAAGGTCATCCTCAATCTCGAGTTCTCTGCCAAGAGCCTGGAATATTGAGAGTTCTGCACAGTATTTTGGTTATTCGTAGCGCGATAGAGATATCTCTGATATCGTTTATCAAATCTGTAAAAGCCACTTTTCTAGGAGTCACTGCCTCCAGTGCTTCTATTAGTACTGAAACTACTTTGGTCTTCACATTTCACATCTTTATTTCGTCTTTCAGCTTCTTATATTTCTTTAACTTCTCATTCTTTCTTTCTAATGTTCCTATCATTTGACACTGCTATATGTATCACCACTGATAATTTTTGGTTCTTTATCTACTGCCTTTGAAATTTTATTGGCCAGTATTTGTTTGTCTATCTGGATAGAGAAGTCCTACAAGATCTTTGCCTTATTATTGTCCATGATTTTCTGAGGAATTTCATCTAGTCTTGGGAGGATCTAAGCCATATATTAAGCAGATATTCCTGTAGATGATGCTGACTACTTGGTGCCTTTCAGAGCATGTTGCTCCTGCTTACACATCCTCCCACATTTTCCTCCTCAATCTGCATCCTCCCACAATCTGTTGAACTGTTTGGGGGGTTTTCGCACATTCTATACAGTCTACACCTTGAATCTTGTCTAGTGTGGTAGATCCTTATTTCAGTGGATTTGATACTTAGCATCTGCTCTTATACTGGTATGATCAAAGCTTACATATATATATATATATATATATATATGTATATATAAGCGCCCGAATAGTGTAGTGATTAAGACAGGCGATTAACATGTAATGTTCGAATCGCAACCAATCAACTCTACCTTTCTAGTGAGGGTCTTTGGGCTAAATTGCGAGGCTGATGGTGACCCACACCACCCATAAGGGGAGGCAAGAAAATTTTTATTTTTTAATTTCAATTGTCTACTCATACTATGGTTTTTGGAAGTTGTGAGTTTTTTAAGCACAGCAACAACCAGCGGAGCAAGCCTACCTAGAAATGGTGAATATTAATTTACTTGATTGAAAAAAAGTTTGATTATTTATTCTATTGAATGACTGTGAACTTGAAATAAGCTCTATATAAAAATTAGATGAAAAACTGAGAAATCTGAAGCATTTTATAAATGAATCGTCCATTCTGTTGAATAAATTATTCAATTTTTACCATTAATTTATTTACTTTTATATATTTTCAATTTTATTATTTCATATTTTTAAATGGCAAGGTAATTGTCATAAAAGTATAAAGCATAAACATAAGCATAAACCGAACTGATGTGGCATATCAGTATAAAAATCTCGTAGCTGTGCTCTTGTTTCAGTTAATTCGTCCGCCTGACGATTCAATTTATTTTGCAAAGTCTGAAAAATATAGAATATAAATTTGTACATAAATGTGTATGCATATAAATTTATAAAACGTCATCCATAAATAAGTTATTTATTTATTTGAAATGAAATTTCCCATTTTGTCGTCAAAAATTTGAATTGAATTCTAAAAAATTCGCAAAATTTATTGAGAATGAAGATATTAATAATGCGCAGAAAACCAGCTAAATTTCAGGTAGAAGATGATCTGATGTTGAAAATTTGCGATAACTTCTTCATCCGTTAAACTGCTATTCTCGATACATTTCCAAAAAAATTTTTTATAAAGATTTTTATTTCAATATTCCCATATTTAAAATGGTCTAAATAAATGGTTTCTGGAAGATAATGAAAAAAAAATTCTGACAGAAAATCTTTGTGGTTAACATATAAAAATATTCATCAATAAATAAACCACTTAATTTTAATGGAAAATATTTATCAATTTTTTCTTAAGCATTATTTTATCTCTGGCACTCATCGTTTTTAATTTGGTTTGCTCTGCTGGCTATTATGATAGAATAACGTATTTTAGGAAGAAAACTATTTGGAGAAGTACAAGTGGGTTCCTAGCACCACTTGGATTTTTTAATCAGAGATTTACTCTTGGATCAAGCTGTGGTGATAATTTAAGCAATACATACTCAACCACAACTCATTAAATATTAAAAGCTACCGAAAAATCAAAAAAAGCAAATCAATTAAAAAATCAATATATTCAGAGGTCAAATGCAAATTTTTAATATTTAATTAAAATAACATCTGAATTTTCGAATGAATCGTAATCGCAATCAATCGTACTCATTTGGACAAAAATTTACTACTACAATAATAAAGCAGTGAAAGTGGCAATGTGCTATAACGTAAATGATCTGATTAATTTAGTGCCCACCACTTCTTCATTTCTTGCTAAGTGACAATAGAAATATAGGTAATCCACCAGCGTAGCTCAGACTTTTTAATGATAGCTTTTCTCCTACTGATCCGAACCATGAAGCTCGAGACGATGATCTGAGCAACAACCAACCAGCTAACCTGTTTCCTACTATATTATTCAATCAATTACTAATTACTATGAATCTAATTATAAGCAGAAGAAACATTAAAGAAATTAATAAAAATTAAGAAAATTATCAATGAATATAAAGCCAAAGTAATTTGAAGAAATGAAAGAAAAAAAACTTATTTGATAAAAAAAAGTATTAAAAAAAGGATAAAAATGTTTCTTTACATCAACAAATGATCGAGTAAATATTTGTAACAATACTTACAAATTAAATTACCTCAACATTAATCAACATTAATCGTTGCATCACAATTATCATCGTCGAAATTATCTAAAGGAAAAGTGAAATGATAAAAACCAGAGAGACATGCCAAACGATTGTGGCCAGTGTCCATAATTTAAGGTGTTTTCAAGAAAAATGTATGCGAACAATGCAGAATAATAATTTATATAAAATAAGATGAATTATAAAATACAGCAATGGAGGATTAAAATGATCTAAAATTACGATAAATTCAATAGTAAAATTCTGAGGTGGACCGATTCATTAATCTATTAGCGAACAACATCTTTAAACTCCTCTCCACACTTATTTCTAGGTTAGTCACGAAATAACTCAAGAAATTAATTTAAGGAATTACAAAATCGAAAAAGGATGATGGTGACGACTCATCTGCACTTCTATCGCCAAGGGACTCGCTGGCATATTTGTCCAGTGCGACGAGCCAACAGAGCGAGTTTAACCAGTAATGGCTAAAATTCTTTAAAAAAAACATCCAGAAAAAGGATGAGAATATTTTATTATAAAACAAAATAAGTTAAAAATACTTAAGATATTATTTAGAAAAATTTAGTTGCTTCGCAAACTCAATTTGGATTAATATCAGGAGAAATTTGTCTAAAAAAATAATCCAGATCAACGATTTGGACAGAAAAAAATTTCATGTGTTTTTCAAATATTTTACCAAATTTTATTCGATTAGGGAAGAAATTCCAGTTTCATCCATCAATAACCCATCAACAATCAGTCTGTAATCTTTTACCATAATCCATTTCTAAGACAAACAACCTCTTCATACTTTTCCATAACTGCCTCTAAGTAGTCTTTGATGTACTTTTTTAAACTTAAATAACCAAAAACCCTGTAATCAAAAATTGCATCTTTAATCCCTTGCAGTTCATATCATCGATTATCTGAATAAGCAGTAAACAATTTCAATAAACAAGTTAAAATAATAAAAATAATAAGCATGAATCCATGAAACCCCTAATTAGTAGAACCTTTTTACGAGCAAATTTTTTCAAGAACTAAGAAATTCCACGTAGCATAATTTCAGATCTAAATAAAATAAGCCAGAGCAAATCATGTCTTCCGAATAGAAGCATACGTGTATCTTCAGCATCATTTTTTATTTGAAATGCCGCGGCATGGGTCGTAGCATTGGTGAAATTAGGCCTAAATAACAACCATTATTTGTTAAATACAATTCGAAAGAAAATTTCTACTTTAAATTGATAAACATTTGGCGTTCACATTTTTGGTTAGGCTTATTCCGCTGAATCCCGTTCGTACGGTAAAACCTTTGCCAGGGAGTCACTTGAGAGGGAAGAACCGAACCTTGCTTCTCAACATAATCTGAACCATTATCCACGCCGCTATCTATTGTTTAAAGTCAATATTTATGGCTCTTACAACTATATTATTGAATAATAATTATTGCGAGTGGTTGATTGTTGAAGCTGCTCTGCCATCTACAATATTATTATTTTATCGTTATTATATCGGTCATTCAATATTCAATATACTTTACATCAAAATCAATATTTTTTTTCAATATTTGGAGAAAAAAAAAATTATTAAGAAATTATTCTCGATTTATTTTGTTTTACTTGGAAATTATTTCTGGTAACAATTCAGCTACGCTCAGCTAAGTTCTCTTGAACTTAATTTTTTTTTTCTTTTTTTGTCTTTGGCAGGAGTAAACCTGCTATTATGTCAAAAATCCGGGTGGCTGCTGGGGACCCACTTGTAACTCTATCCCCAAGTGAAAGGGTCAGATACATTTGATACGGCGTTAGCGTCTCCCGATGCGCATAATACTTCGAATCCGGTGGTACATGCGATAAGTTTACAATCCGGGCTTAAAACGATCCCAAGGATGATAAATAAAATGTGCTCGCAAGCCAGAGTAATTGCTCGAAACCTATCAAGGGGAAATGCACCCTCTTCACGCACGGCGAAGTATTAGCCGTATCAGCGCGGAACGTCAGAACGCTTATGGACGTTGCAAGCCAAGCGATCATTGTCCACACCCTGTCTAAGTATCGTGTGGATATCGCTTGCTCAGAGGTCTGTCTTCCTCACTTTGGGTCTCGAGAAGTTATTAATCCTGGTTCAGAGCAGAGATACTGGCTAAATCACTGTGGTGCTTCGAATAACTAGGGAAGAAATGGCGTAGCGATTGTCATGACTGACAAGGCCCATTCCGCTTTGATTGAGTGGAAACCGGTAAACGACCATATGGCCTATGCCCGTTTTAAGGGTAAGTTCTGCAATATCTTGGTCATCAGTGTCTATACTCCAACGCTGTCGGCAGATGAACGTAATAAAGACAAGTTCTATGCTGAACTTCAACTGCTAACAAAGTGTCTACCGAAACATGACATGATCATAATCGGGAGAGACTGGAATGCTCGCGTAGGTCATAATGCAGCTGCGATGACCTCAACAATTGGCAAATATGGCATCGGAGATCGGTGTGCCAATGTGGAACGTCTTCTTCGTTATGCCGAAGAGCATTTGTTACTAATACTTGCTTCCGGCATCATAAAAAACATCTAGTCACGTGGAACTCCCCGGACAA